GTGAACATTTTGTCCTCCAGTTGATGTGTTAGAAGCAGGAAAAATGTGCAGCGTGAGGATTTGAGCGACTTTGACAAGGGCCACATTGTGATGGACGACTGGGTCAGAGCATCTCCAAAACTGCAGCTCTTGTGGGGTGTTCCCGGTCTGCAGCGGTCAGTATCTGTCGAAAGGGGTCCAAGAAAGGAAAAGCGGTGAACCGGAGACAGGGATATGGTCGTCCAAGGCTCAATAATGCACTTTGGGAGTGAAAGCTGGCCTGTGTGGTCCGATCCAACGGATCCAAAATGCTGGAAAAGTTCATACTGGTTCTGATAGAAAGGTGTATGTGTATGGGGCTGCAGAACATTATGACCCCCTCATAATGTTATGGCTGATCGATGTAAGACCTAATACTTCTACTACCTCTATTCTCATACTGAGTCTGACCCACAGAGAAAAATACACATGAAAACTTACCAAATTGAATGGATATGAAAGTAAGCTGTTATTCTGGCTCATGTAAACTAATTGTAACCCCTTTAAAGCCGCTTATGTTATAAAAGAAATCCTATATAATATATTCATATTTGTTCTATGTGATGACTAAAACATTCCTACTTGATTTGACCCAAAATGACCTTAATGAAGTTTGTAATATTTCACTGCTGATTTTTTTTTCTTATATGTCCTTGTGTTCTGATGCCTGTTATGAGTTTCTCCATTGTTCAGCTTCTCTAAGCAAAGTTATTACCTTGGCATTTTAATTGAAGTGATTTTGACCTTCAAAATCAAGTATTCAAGCTTCTTTCTGTTCAAAATATTTTTTGTATTTGATTCATGTAGCATCGTTGCATGCAGCCAAAAGATTCTCCAGAGAGGACTCCTGAAAATGACAGACGCATGAGGAAAAAATTAGACAAGATGATGAAAGATTTAGTACCAAAACAACCTCTTGGTAAGACATTATTACACCTTTTTAGAAACCTTTAAAACTAGTGGTTTTTTGTAGTTGGTCATTCACAATTATTTTTTATCCACAGTTACAGACGTGTCGCCCATCATTATTGATGAAGAGAGCGGAATAGTCTATAGCCCTGCGTTGAAAAGATCAGATTACATGGCACAGCGTTTGAAAGACATGAAAGAGAAACGGGAAAACCTCTCACCAACAGGTATGTGCAGCCTGATGAACTGACAAGGTCTTCAAAATATTTTAGCACTTTTAAAAAAACCAGACATTCACATATATGTCACTGTCTTTCAGCTTCACAAATGGTTGAATCCTGCTCATCCACCGGGCGGAAACCTTCCCTTGGGAGCACACCGACTGTCCTCAAGTTAATGTGTAAGAAAATATGGTGTGATCTTCTTGTTACTGATAAAAAGCTGGCAGGTTTAGCGACAAGATGAAGCCAGAGGAATCCACGTTGAAATCCAAGATAGCACTTCTATCATCTATCTATCTTGGACTAAATCCTACATATTTGTTTTTGCTCAAGATCATAAAATAAGGTGAATGTTTGAAAACAGTAAACAAATAGTTCAAATATGTATTATTTTCTGTGTCTGTGTGTGTTCATGCATCGTACTGCTTAAAGCTGCATAAAAGAATCTCGCTACTAGAGACGGTAACCGGCAGAAACAGGGCAACATTGGCATCCCACTGGAGTCTCTTGAATGTGCAGTAATTACTTGTCTTTTGCCCCCATTTGCTCTGACAGCTCCTAAGAAAAATAGTACATTACGTTACATTCATTAGGCAGACGCTTTTGTCCAG